GCATAGGAAGTCATAGACTTGATATTAGGGATAGAAACAGAAAAGATGCAGCGGGGACTAGAGCTAGTTGGCTGACAGTAGGCCTGTTTTGGCATAGACGTGGTCCATGTAACAAAGGCTTGACCATGGGAATTACTCAGGGGATTTAGTCTCGAGTTAGTATCCCAGAAGCAGTGTGGGAAATAACGCCTTGAGTAGCACAAATGGGATGGCAGGGGTCGAATAAAATATTTGAACCGGGGAGATAGCAGACTAATCCTATGGGGCAAGAGGGAGACTCTTATAAGACCTAGGGAAGAATGACTGCATAACAATAGGGCCGACTCTGATCAGCATTACCAGCACAAGAGTGAAGGTGAGTGAGGGGGTGAGGAAGTCAGCCTGAGTTGTGGAGAATTCTCATGAAAGCAGCTCAAGTCAAAACATGTCATTTGGATAATAAATCGAAGAGCATTGATATGTATTCTAATAATTACTGTTTTGCTTTACACAGTTCTCTGAATACCCCTTCTATTATAAAAATGAAATAGCAGCCAGAGAAGATGGGACAACTTCAGATTAATTAATAAAAAATTTCTCTAACTGCCCCAAGAACTCAATAGACGCAGAATTTGAAGATGTATTGAAAAATTCCATAAAAATAGAAATTTGTAGACTGGCTAAACCAATATAATTATTTTAAATAGCATTACAGTATAATCCATAGATCTTAAAAGCCTCTTGAGATTTAATCACATCTAAGATCTCTTTATATTCACGCAAAATTCAGTAAATTTTATAAGCTTTCCTTAGATATAAAGAATAGTTTTTAAAATGAGGTTTGATAAAAAATTAAAAGAGGTGTTTATAACACAAGCCGACCAAATTTGAAAATGAGAACAATCATTAAACACAAGAAAATTGACTTCAATGAATTGGCTAGAAAATAATATAATTACTACTTGTGCAAGAATAATAAAAATCGCCATATGGGGTGACCTTATAGCAGTTTCGCCTATGTGCATCAAGTAATTTTTTTTCAAGAACTGAGTCGAAATATGTAAAACATGAAAAATCAATTATTAAATGCTCACTAAGAAACGCGAAGGCCTCCAGAAAATAAGGCGTCATGCGGTCTGTGTAGCTATCATTTATCGGGATCCTTAGGAATTGGTCGGTGGGCACATGTGGAGAAGTTGGGCCATCAACTGACACATTGATAACATGCGTGATGCCATAACGAGCACAAACACTAGCAGACATCGCGTCCGACTGACAGCCTAACACGAGGTGTGGCAAAATTGGCGAAAGGCGTGGAGTACCCGGAGTCGAAGAAATGGCAGAACCGAAGGCAAGGGAACAAGAGGACGAAGCAGCAACGGCGCTTGTAGTTGTTGAGGTGAGATTGGAGATGCAAGCGGACAAGGAGTGACTGATGCCACTAGTCAAACATGAGTAGCTATAGCTATTTGTAATGCGAGTAGATTGAGTGGCCGTAGTAGATGCGCGTGAATGAATGGCGAATTCGGTCTGCAAAGGAGTAGCAGATGAGACGAGAGAGGAAGATGGTGGTAGAATAGAAGATGAGAGCGAAGAATGAAGAGCAGACTGCAAGGGAGCATAGCCACTAATAGTAGCAGCAGTGATATCGGTCGAGACGATTGTGTTAAGTGAAGCCGGAGAGCCAATGGCTGGAGAGACAGCTGTGCTTGTGGCAGGTAGGCTCTCTGGTCCCGAAAGACTGTTGGTCTCAACACTAAAGGTGAGCAGCCGACTCGTATCTGAGTCATGTAGAGAGTCGCCTCCAGGGCTATAGCCACTTGGATTACCGCCTGCGGTGAAAAAGTATATAAAAAATGATACTAAATTGAAGAGCGAGAATAAAAACAATTGAAAACCTGTCAAGTATAAATCCAATCCTAGATAGATACCTACAATTGAGGTCAGAATGAGAGGTCCCAGAATGAAGATAGCTGTTTCCCGTCTCTCCAAAAAGAAAATATTAATCCCCTTTACACTAACTAGCATATGGCTTGAGGCTTATGTTTGCTTAGTTGCCCAAACAAATTGGAAAATTATATATGAAAGCAAGGAGTATCTAAGCCATTAAGCTAAAAGAAATACGATTTAGTTCCTGCCACATTAAGTTAAGTGGAAAGTTAGTGAAGAGCTTGGCTAAACAAAGCTATAGGCTGTAGTCAAAGTTCAATAAAAAAGTATTATGTAACTTCAGCACAAAGTTTGCTGACACAATTGGCTTGATGCTAGCTAATGTGAGATTGATTAAAACTTCATGGTTCTAATGAGAAACCCTATTGCCACAGATTCATCCAAACAAAGTATAGGGCAAAAGTGAGGGGAGACCAGGTGGTAGAAATATCAGTTTCAGTCGATAAGAGCTGATCGGAGTCTAATGCAAAGAAAAGCATAAGCCAACTTAGTCTATGATAATCATTTATCGATGTAAATATTCAATATGTAATCAAAAAAGTGTGACACCAAATTGAATAGGCATTACAGAAATGGGAGAGAAATAATATTAAAATGCTAGAGCACTTTACATAAGTTGGAGTACCTTTCATTTCGTTTGAAGAAGCGAATGGAAGGGATTTCTGGGTTGGCCTCACCGAAGACCATAGATGGACTGCCTTGGAACTGAGTTTAAATTTGGGCGAATGGGTTCCTCGGCACACCGCACTGCTACCCCAATGAATCCTAGCTGAGCTTTCATCCGTCATGTGAAGGACGTCGTCAGAGTTGGACACCATGCTTTACGATAATTCACCAGGCCCAAAGACAAGAAAGGTGGCCAGCTGCAATCCTACCTACTTTTTAAAGGCTAGCTATATCCACTAAATGAGACATCTCATGATTTGGTTGAAGATCATATGCTTTTCCTCCGTGTTGTCGAAAAGCAAAGTGGATGCAGGTAGCATGTGAGGTGGCTGCAAATGAAGCTCTAAACGGTTACAATTGTGACCGAACAATGGTATCCTACCCTAAAGCACTAATATTTTTTGCTTAATCCTGCAAAGGAGGCGCATGTGATTGCATTCCACTGCACAACTCTTGTGTATGCAATGCTCGTAAGACTCGTGGCGTTTGAGAGTGAAAAAGAGATTTGGGGCTAATCAAGCCTCGTCGATACTTCTCGTTCTCCCTCTCACACTAATCTTATCCAAAATCCACAAGCAGTTCCAATTAATTTCCTAACCTTATAAGATATGAATAAAACTGGGTTTCGAAGAATTCCTTAATTAAGTAATGTGGCAGGACTCTCGATTTCGAAGGGAAAGTAGGTTGGAATGAATTCGTAATGTGGTCTCCCCGGAAACCGAAGGAGGATTATCGCGTGTGTGAAGAAGTCCTCGCCTCACCGCCCTGCGACCCCGATGAAACTACGCTAAGCTTTTGTATGTACTGCGACAGACATCATCAGAGCAAGATTTCATACTTTAAGAAATAGGTCAAAAATATACTAAACCAAGAAAAGAATATGGCCGGCTGTAACCCTAGTCGCATGCTTCTACACACAAGATCGCGATCTTAATGAGGCCTCCCCTGATTTGGTTGGCTATCTCAAACTTACTCTACATTTT